TGACGAATTTTTGCTGTCTATGTAAAATTTTAATATACCACGTAGATCATATGAAAAATGATCTATGGACACCCTACTCTTAATAAAGAAGATAGATTAAATTAGCCAGCATTATAAATAATGCTAGCTAATTTTATCTTATAATATGATTTTTTACGTAGTAAAAAATTAAAAATATGTAAAAATAATATTTTAAAAATTGATTAACATTATTTTTTCAGCACCAGTAAAATATTTACTTATATTAGAGCCTTGCCACTATTTGAAAAACAAACTAACTTCTTAACCTTCTTACCATCCTTCGACTGATTCTCATTTATCTTCTACTCCTCATCAGAATGATAGGCATTCCTTCCTTTGCTTCTTGTTAATATCTCCAGGTCATCCTGTGAATATCTTCTAATACTTTTATTTCCCACCTTTATTAAATACATTAATGCTTTTCATCTTCTTTTCCTCTTCTATAATACAGTAATTTAAATTATTATATTTTACTTATAAATCATTTACCTGATAAATTAGTAAGAGATTACCAATATATTAGGTAAATGATTTGTGAGCTAAGAACAAATCATTTACCTAATATATTGGTAATCTCTTACTGATTTATCAAGTAAATGATTTGTTAGTCAAGTAACTCTAGAATTGATTTAAAAAATAATTTACATGCCAAATTTTATTATGCTTACTTCATTCATCTTACTATTTTTCACCATTCTGGCGTGATTGTAGGCATTTAAGTTTGGATCAGCATTTATTGTTGCTGTTCATCGTTGCGTCTTATGATGTTGTTTTAAAATTTTTTCAATCGTGCCAGAATGGTGCCGATATCCTGATAATTTTTTTGTAATAGCTGGAATCAGCTTTTGCTGCACGTTTTGTGATTGGTTAGCCTATTGTTTAGTCAAATCAGGCTTTAGGTCAGATAGCTTACCACCTTCTATTAATACTTTAATTTCGTTTTTGGTAATAATAATTATAATAATATTAATAATAAAAGTAAATTAATTATAATAACAATAATAAAAGTAAATTAATTATAATAATAATAATAAAAGTAAATTAATTAAAAAAACAGACAAACACACAAATGTGAGAAAATAATATTTACTCGTAAGTGAGACCTCTGCTCATTTGTTAATACTTTCAGTACATCTTCACTTGAACTGCTGCTATTACTACTAGACTTGCTAGTGCTACTACTTGTGCTTCTACTAACTGACCTACCACTACTTCTACTACCTGATCTACCTTTTCTCTTACTAACTGATCTACCTCTTCTTCTTTTAACTAATTTATCTTTCACTTCACTTTCATCTTCACTACTAGTAGCTTCTAAGCTACTAGAGCTTGAGGACGATGATGATCTTGCTCTTTCTTTCCTCTTACTAAATACTGCTGTGACTGCTTGAGCTACTGCTTGCACAATGTAATTCACATTCACTAAATAATAGATTATTGTTGTGTTAATGATATATTAAAGTTACCACTTTTTATAAACTTTACATTTTCTTTTTTTATATTTACGTGACTTCTTCTTAGACTTTTTAGCACCCATTTTACTGCTCTCTGGTTTTGGCAAATGCTTTTCTTTACCCATGTTTTGATAAAAATTTAAGTTGACGAAAAAATTAAAAGATATTGACCATCTTATATATAAATCTTACCCTCATTATTCTAATATCCATTAATTAAATTAAAAAATTATTTTATTAAATAAATAATTACATTAAATTAATTACCTTTTGCATAGAAGATATTTCTTCGAATATTGTACTTATTCATTATTAAGCAATAAAAAAATTACATTAATATCGCTATAATATCATTAATTAATAACTAATTACATTAAATATAATATACTTTTAACAATTACTAAATTTGGTAGTTATGCATTTTGGCAATTTTTTAATTAATCCCTGATTACATTAAAAAATAATACCTTTCACTTAGAAGATTGGATGACGATCTTAACAATTACCCAATTTGGTAACAATATGCTTTCGACAATTTTTCATTGTTAATATGTAGAATAAAATTAAATCGTATAAAAATTAATATCATTAATTAATCTCCGATTACATTAAAGGTGATATACCTTTCACTTGAAAATATCTAGGAAGATATGCTTTCGAAATTATTAGTCAAATAGTAATTAACAATATCAAATTATATTAATTATAAAATTATATAAATATCGCCATTATATAATAAATTAAATAATTGATTACATTAAAAAATAGTTAACCTTCGCTTTGTGAATATGCATATAATCTCAATAATTCAAATAAAAATAATTCATTCTAATATTATTAATTAAAAATTACTTTATTAGAAAATTAATTATATCAAAGTATGCTTAGAAGATATTCAACGAACTGTCACATGATAATTAGATATTCAGCATTGTTTACTTATATATAAAAAAAGAAACAATGTCGAATACCTAATAATACTTATTCATTTTGCTGCCAAGTAGTTAATTGTTTCAAGCATTTTTTGAATTACCGGATCTGGTCTGACATTATATATATGAGATATCGTATAATATATTTAGTTAGATAAATAGTTATATTAAATAATTTATATTTTTTGTTAGAAAGATATACAGAGAATTGTTTAATTACACAAGATCGAAGATTATGCTTTTCAATTCATTCACATAGTGTTGTATTATTCTGAAAATCCTAAATTTTGGTTAAAGAAGATTCAGTTATTAAAGAAATTGTCTCACCTGGCTAAGAATTTAACCTTATTATAGTTTTGGCATATTTGTCTTTGGTGGTATGTATGAAGATCGGCTTTTATAGTTAAGAATAAGTTTTTTCGTTATGGCTTTAACATGTTTATCTTTAACTTCTGAAAAAATTTTTTTTTGGTTAGGATGTTTCATGATAGAAGTAACAAGTCTTTCTAGAATCTGCTTATATTTTTTCCAATTTGAATAAAAACGCATTACTTTGTTAAAATTTTGTGTTATCTTCAACTTTTCTTTTGTTTTTTGTTTGAAAAGATGTTTGACAGAAAATAAAGTCATGAATGTTCGTAGATTTCTGTGTGTATCTTTGATAGTCTTTTTGTGTTCATAATATTACTATATTAGATATAATATTTTTGTAAGATATAGATTTTGTATTTTCTTTAAAAAAAGTGAA